TAAATATATGAAAGTTCAGAGCTATTGATATATTTGTTAGTATGCTAAATTCAAATACTGTATTATTCTAAACTTTATTTCACGTCCTTATTAATTCTTAAATTACTTATCTAAAAGTCTACCTTGGAACTTAGCTTAATAATTTAGAAAATGTTTAAAATTTTACTTTTTATTATACACAGTACTTAACAAAATTATTTAAAAATATTATATTCAATAAACTAAATCTTGAATAATATGAGGCAATTAATACTTGTTAAAATTCTTATTTAATATTGCAAAGATTCTTGTTTACTAACATTTTCTAAATTTTGGCTCTTAAACTAACTCTTATGTCCTTTAATATCTCATCTAATAAATAAAAAAAAGCAATCATTAATATTTAGTCTAAATATAATTTACATATAATTTACAATTGATAAAAAGTATAATTACCACGATTTTCAGTTTCATTAAATCTAGCCTATTGACTAGTGATAGGATTGAAGCCAATTCTGCAACTAATTCTTGAATTAATGGTTCTACAATTGATGCAGTTCCAACTGAAATTGGATTGTTAGTAATATACCATGCAAGATTTGAATCAATTATACTAAGGGCATAAAGACTGCCTAGACTGTGAATGATCCCGCTAATTTAATAAATGTGATAATAATATTGAATATATATAATTATATTTGATGGCAAGTTACTGTTAAACAATAATAAATAAAGGAAAAATAACTTATTGAGAATCACTTTTAAGTTTTTTAAAGTGTAATAACAACTTGTTCTAATACTATTCTATGACCATGTGCTTTGGCTAATGCGTGGATTGTATCTGGTTCTCGTAACATCCAAACTTCGAAAATGGATGATTCTTTAGCAATATTAGTGGACATGATATCCATGTTCATACATAAAAAGTATGATAAAATTTATTTTTATTTTTTTTTGGTGTGTAAGATGCCTCAAATTAGGACACTTTCGAGAAATAATTCTAAAATCATTACCGGTAAAAGCGGAAGTTATAATTTTAGTTTAAACAATTAGAACCTTTCTTTTGTTGCTCTTGATTTTAAATTTTGCGGTTGTAATACCATATTCGACGTCAAAATTGACTGGATAATTCGTGTATATCCTATATCAGAAAGCATCGCGTTAAATGACCCTTAATTTAATAACCAAACAGTATCAAATTGATACTATAACTTATATTCTTGGTAAATTAATATTTATTTTAAATTTAGAGCGAAGGTTCTTTTTAATTTCTATAATTTTTTGAATTGTTTTCTTCGATTGTTGGATTCTCAGAAAAGGATTCTCAGAAAAAATAGTGATAGATCGATCGATCGTCTATTGCACAATGTCAGACAATATAAGATATTGTCTGGAGCAAAGCAGAGGGACGAAAGTGTGATTATATCCGCCCAACTGACACGCGTATTTTTTTAACCAATTAATATTTGTCACAAAATACTAAAACTATTAACAAACTAGTGCCCATTTACCTAGTTATTATTGTATCCCAAAGCGAAGCGGATGACATTCTATATTGAAATAAGTGTTCAACTGATGATTCAATGCTTTAAGTAAATTAGCAATGATCACCAGATATTATTTAAATAATATTTCTTCTTTGATTAATGCTTGTTCCCTTAAGTTAAATAACTTTAATTGATTATCTAAACTTCTTATATCATCAGGGATGCGTGGCAAAGTGAGAAAACCAGATTGGACGTCGGCTAATAGTTCCTTAGCAACTAATTTTTATAATGAACCACATTAACAAAAAAGGCTCAATATTTCTATAAGGTAAAAAAAAAAAAAAAAAAAAAAAAAAAAAGCAAGAAATCTAATTTTTGCATACCTTTTTGCATCAAAACGCTATTATCACCCTCAGCTGTCATACCAGCATGAGAGAATCCAATGAAACTACCAAGTCGATTAATACTTAAATACCCTTGACCACCACATCTTTCTTTACATGTAGTAGCAACACGCTCAAAATTCCATGTAACCAAGGTTTTATCATACAACAAAGCCTAACAACTTCATTGTGATTCTTTTTGGTCTATGATTTCATTTTGAAAGTTTATGTAAATTGTCAAGTATATTAATGATAACTAAAATAAAACGCAGGATTTTTTTTGATTTCAAACAATTTAAACAAATTGCATACTCCTTCTGCCCATCGAACTTTACAATAATTAAGTCCAATATTCAAAGCAATGGTCGTAGCTAGGAGAGGCAATAAGGCACGTTGTTGAAGTTGATATGCTAAAATTGGTGTGTTACTTTAAACAAAAAAAATTATAGACTTATTAAATATTATTTAAATTACATGCTATTCATTAATATAAAGTTTTTACCTTTTTCCTGTATGATCAACTGCCAACTTGGAATTAGCATCTCGGAAAGCAATACACAAACAAGCTTTCCAAATGACAAAGTAATAAAATAAATAAAATGTTTTTTTTTAAAAAATAAATAAATAAAATAGCTTGAATTTTAATGTACATTTAGTTCCACCCAAATTTAAGGCGGCAATAGCCAATCTTCCAGAAAGTAATTGATTAGCAACTTTTAAAAATTGTTTATAATTTTAGATAACAATTAATTAATTTAAATTTCCAAGTGATTTTAAAAAAAAAAAAGTAATAGATACAAACCCTCGAATATTTTGAACAGAGCTTGTAAAATTGGTTTTTTCATCAATATCAGAATAATGATTAAGTAAATTCTGGACCGGCACTCGTACCTATTAATTAAATAGAAAATTAAAAATAGTGATTTACAATGAAAACATTACTTGTATTCTCTTACATTTTTAAACCACAAATTTTTAGAATGAGTTAATATTTACAAAAAAAAAAAAAAAAAAAAAAACGCTTACTATTATCTACGCCGTTACATTCAAATTTGACACTCATATCCTCTGACTACTTTAAAAACTCATACTAAGTTCATAAAAAAAAATTGGTTTAAATGTTGAATTTTGACAAATAGTGTATATTTAAAAAATATTAAAATAAAAAATATGTAATTACTCTTCTTCTCTAATTCTGACTAGAATCGCATGAATTCCTTCGTTTTTACCACGAATAGAGATGTTATCGGCTCCGGCTCCAGCCGCGGCTTGATACCAGAGCCACTATCAAGCCAAGCCTTTAAAATCATGGCTTGAATCAGAGAAGTATGGCTCTTGGCTTTGGCTTTCAGCCATAGCCTGAGCCTAAACTTTAGCCATGATTTTAAAGCCGGCTTCAGACATAGCCGATTTAAGTCCTGTAGCTTCACAATAGCTTAAGCCATAGTTAGCAGCGGCTCAAAAAACTAAGCCTAACTCAAGCCATGATATATGCATGGGCTTGGCTGCACCATGGCTATTTATGCTATGGCTTTAGTGAGCCAAGCCGAGCCATTCCAGCCGATTACATCTCTAACCACGAATAATAGTTTGAGTGAATACCACAACCTACTTAGCATTAGTGATTTGAACCGAGAAAAAATTCCTTAGTCGGGTAGGTAACCGAACCGAAATATTTAATGTCAACCGATTGCAACCGATTAAGATTACTTCACACTTTTACCTTCGGAAGTTCTCGGACCTTTACTCAAATTTTATGTTCATTCATTTTCATTTCGGAAGTTCACGGACCCTTTGCTCTCTGTCAACTGATTACCGATACTCAACCAGTTGTACGAGTCAACCGATTAAGAATTTACTCAACCGGTTACCCGAAATTTATTCAATTCGGGTCGGTTAACCGATTATAGCCCAACCGATTCAAATCACTACTTAGCATGGACTGTGGTATCATTAGAATGCAAGTCATCTCAATTTACTAGGGTTGGAGGCACGGTGTCCCAAGGCATGCCCTTTGGCTAAAAGACATGTCACCTACTCTCTTTATATAGAAAAACCTCACATATGAAGTTTCGTTGATTTGATTGGTCAATTGACATAAGTTAATCAATTATGATATCTAGCAGTGTTGGCAAGTGTTGTCAATTTGACAAAATTGCAGAGTTGGATGTCATAAAATATGTCATTTTTCTCATAAAAAGTATAATGCAAACACTGGTATTGTCAGATAATCTTAAATGACCTATATGACTTCTATGACCTGTCATAGATCATTTAGTCATAATGAATATTGATATGACTTATGACCTTTTTAATATACGTAGAAAAATTTATACGTAGCAAAAATTTTTTTTTACTATTTAAATATGACTACGTATATGACCTATGACAAGTCATATGATTATATGACTAAGGTCATACGTATTAAAAAAATGGTATGACTTTGGTCATTTGCCAACACTGATATCTAGAGAGGGCATGCATGCCTTCCTAGGCATGCCCAAAAAATTTTCCGTGCCCCCAACCCTACAATTTACACACATATATATCTATATTTACATTTGTAATCCAATACTTTTGAGCCAAAGTTGAAGGAGTATTAATTAGAGACTAATGGTTTCGGCACGTAGCCAAACCCAAATAGCCGAAACTAGTTTGAGGCTTTGCCGAAATAAAATCCCAAACTATAATGATACGTATCGATATAACAATAATATATTACGTAGGAGTATTAAAATTCACAAGCGTTAATTTCTATTATTAAAAAGCATCAATTTTTTATATTATTTGTTACAACACTATTTATTACTGTGTTAGCATAAATTTTCTGCTAAGCTTAACAAAAAACGAATTTATAATAATAGTAATCAAAAAAGAATTGAATCGTTATACGTAGAGATGACAAATGATTAAAACACAATGTTTTAAATCAATATTATAAATCATCGTCATTGATAACCGAGTAAATTTTATTTCAGATCATGCGATGTGATTTTAATTAACATCATTTGGGTCAGTCTGTACCGTTATAGGCTTCGGACCTTTTTGATCAAATCTTGATGATTTGTTGGGCAATATTCTTGAACAAATGCTCTATCCGTAGTACAATTTTTGTTGCGCGTAATATCATAATACGATTTGCTATAATTCTTGATCAAATTTTGTTTTATCTTAAATGTAAATAGTAGATCAAATTGATTTTTAAACAATTGTCCCCGAAGCCCTATAACGGTATAGACTGCCCCATTTTCACAGCAAATTGGGGCTTAGAAACGATTTTTTTGATTTGTAAATAAACGATTAATCAAATTTCGATTGTTGTGACAAATTTAGATATTTATATGTAAAAAAGTTTAGTACATATCTGATATGCACATACATTATACTGATATGCGTTGTTGAAACTTTTTTAGTGATACGTAGCGAATAATGATATTACAATATACCGTACAGCAATTTTTATTTGAAAAAAAATAATAATAATTATGAGATCCTAATTACGAATTTTAGATATCGATATCTATTTGGTATAACAATGCAGAAAGTTGAACGTCTGGCCAATTAAATTTGAAGTACTCTATATAAGATTATCTTTATGCAGAAAATATGTAACTGGTCAGTTCTCAGCTTTCTATATAAATAATATTCCTCCAGTACACGTGATCCTATAATACGTATCTTTTAACGAAGCCACATTACTACGTACAGTACGTACGTATAAGTAACGTAGTCTTTTTTTTTTTACTGTTTTAGGGTTAGATTAAGATTTGTATAATTGTTAATAAAAGTGATACGTACAGAGAAAACCTTAAAGTGAAGATTTAAGTTATCACTATACATAGCTAGACTTATCATACGTATTACGTATACGTTAAACATTCACTTGCAGGTTTTCTCTGCATCAATGTGGATTTTAGTAGGGACCAAAAGTTTCAGTATCAACCTGCGATTTTAATTATTCAAATTAAATTACTACGTATTATCGTTATGTAATTTTATTAATTTACAATCATTGTGATTATACGTAGTTACATTACATTGAGGCTTACTGCGCCGTCAACCTAGCACACATTCAAGGGCGCTACCATGCAATTCAGTTTCAAAAACCTAAATCTCACATACACAACATAGTAATACATATTATACAATAATTATTAAGTGAAAAATACCAAATTCATGAAATTCATTATTGGTATGTAATAAATATATATATAGTCTAGATTGACAAACAAGACTATCAAATAAAGCGAATGTAGATAATTTAATAATTCGTACCAGATCAAACAAGATTATCATTAAGTTTTCTAAAAAAGAACTTGCTTTTTTTTTTTTAAAAAAAAAAATATCTTAATTTCATTCTTAACTTTAACGTAAACCTAAATATAATTCAGGTTATATTCAAATCTGGTTAGCGTACTATTTTTATAGTTAGTTACACGAATTGAATTATCGTTAGCATTATCGACGGTGAAATCGAGTATGTTACACATTAGTTAATTATTTTTGGACTTCAAAGATGTGCTTAAAAGTGACGTTGCCTTGCATTGTGTTATATTTGTGAACGGCTTTTGAAACCCTTCACTAGACATCGAGTTGGTTTTTTTTTTTTTTTTTTTTTTTAATATTTGGTCGTATAAACTACTTTATAGATTTCTGATTATGCACTGATAAAACTTGGTCAGTTCTTTTCCCTTTAATGGACAACACAGTTGGCCAGAAAGATAGTCAGGGTAATGAAGATGAGGTAGTTTCATATAAAAATGAATCTGAGAATGTAAAAGAGGTGAACAAAGTTGTCGGTAAGAGAACTGAAGGAAAGGACTCTACTATTAGTAATACCTATTCAGAATCTACTTCAACGCAAAAAGATATTACGGGTGACACCAGCCAAAGTAGTACAACAGAGATTCCAGCAAAGGTGACCTGCGAACCCGACCCACTCGAACCACAACGTCAAGATATTATAACCTCTTTACCTAAAAGTAGTGTAAACCAACTTATAACTACTTCTAACTCTACTTCAACTCCTTATAAACCTAATAATATGTTTTTTAAAAATGAAAATCTCGTAGCTTCAGATTTACAAACTTTTAGTCATTTAAATTCTGATAATGACAAAAAACTTTCAGAGATCTCTGAAGATGTGTTAATAATTAAAAAAGAAAGTTCTGATCAATATGAAACTTCTATACCTTTAAATGTTTTATCTTCGAATATAAATAAAAATATTGTACCTCCAAAACAAATTATTCGAATAGAAAGAGATTATACTCGTGGTGAAATGTGTCAATTTCAATCGGCTTTTCCCTTAGAAATTGAAGGACGGGTAAAATAATTTTTTTTTTAATCTTTATATATTTTAATTTTTATTTAAATAAAATTTTAATTTTAATTTTAATTTTTAATTTTTAATTTTATTTTATAGGTAAATCCAAGACAATTTCAACAAACAATTAATGGTTTAAATGAACTTTTGACAAAAGCTTTAAATCCAAAGTATAATTGGTTTGATAATTGTTTGACTTGTGTAACAATATACGTATCAACTTTATGTATACGTCCACATTATGAAAAAGTATGTCAAAAGATTTATTTTATATTTTGTTTTATATAATAAAAGTTTTATAATAAATACTTTTTTTTTTATAGACTATCGAAGAAATATGCGTATTTTTAGATAATGAAAATCGAACTTTATACAATTTGAATGGTCTAAATTTTCGTGATCCAAGAAAATCGTCCTTTTTATTTGTATCCTTTTTTTTTTTTTTTATTGTCAATTATTATACGTCTTTTAAATTTACTTTTTTTTATTTTTCCTTGATATTAAATTATTTCGTAATGTCTTAATATAGCTCGAACTTGAATTATACTAATAGAGTATTGATTTTCTCGTTTCTTAAAAAAAAAAAAAAAAAAAGAGTGAATTTATTTATTCTCATAGATCTGCAATAATATAAAAAAGTGAATTAAACTGACGAATTGTTGCTTTTCTTGTATTTAGTTTTTTTTTTTATTTTTTTTTAAAAAAAATAGACATTTACATTTATTATAATATTTAAAATAATAATCTTTTTAATTTGATTTTCCAAAAAATGTTAAATCTGAAAAAAAAAAAAAAAAAAACTTGTATAAATCAATTTTAATTATAGTCTGAATTTTGTTCAATATTCTTATTATATATATACTCTTTCGATATTGTTTTACAGCATAAAATTTATATATTTATTTATTTATATATTATTTTTATTTGAGATCAAAACTTAAATTATCAATATACGGTATTAAGTTATCAAATACCGAAAAAAAAGCGAATTTATAAAAAAAATAAATAAATTCACAACTTATTATGCATGCTAACCAGAAAGCGATATACTATATTTACAAAAAGCAAATCAAACTTATAGTTTGGTATTAAAAGAAAATAAATTATTTTACAGAACAATGTCCAAAATTAAAGAGAACAAAAAAAAAAAAAAACTATAAATTACAGAAAAGTATATATGGATATACTAAATTCAAAAAACTTATTGGATCTATCAAATTTCATATAAAAAAATACTTAATATCATGACAATTTTTAATTATCATGAGTTAATACAATACTATCACTAGGTAATTCTACTTCATTATCTCCATCAGGAGAAAAGAAGAAATTTCCTTCCTTTTCACCCGTATCATTCAAATTATAATCTAATTCTTTAACATCATCACTATACGTGGTTTCAGATGCCATGGATGATGATGAGGTCGATTGAGTACCAGATGAAGATGATTGCTGGATAAATGTATTATTATTTAATAACCCCAGTGAAATATTGCTTTTATTATTTAGTAATGAAGATTGAGTAATTGATGTTGTTATGGTAGGAATATTATTCGCAATATGTATATGATGCGCATCCTCAAAGGATAAAGGTGTTGTGGCTGAATGTTTATTAAAATATATTTATAAATATTTAGTAAGAATTAAATAAAAAAAGTATATATTATGAATTATAACTTACACATATCATCTCCAACTTTCGAATACGTGTAACTATTAGAGAAGCCATTTGACATACAGTCTCTGGATTTAATGTTAACAGCAGAAAGTGTCGGACTAGATGGTGTAAACTCAAGTGATGTACGCATTGCTGTTGATAGATTTGCTGACATATCTCCTGTTTCTTTACCAATAGCTTTACCAGCTGGAATAAGAATCGCTCTACCACTTCTATTATCTTCATTATTCATCAATCCGTTAATTTCATCAAACTTTTCACTTGTTTCTATTCTTTCTACAACGTCCCTTTTTATTTCAATCTTTTTTGAACGAGGTACTTCTCCTTTGTTTATAGCATCTTTATAACCAGGCAAAAATGTTTGAAATGTAAATTGAGGTGTTGCCCACAAAGGTGGAGGTAAGGATACTTTTGAATTAGTATACGTTATAATTTCTGCATTAGCAAGCCATTTTTTTTTATCACTTTCTCTTTTTGCCATGATTTCATTTTCAATATTACTTTGTTTAGGTGATTCAATGACATTTTTCACTTCAGCCCATGTACCATCACGAATTAATTGCCATTCAGCAACATCTTCATAACTGACAACCATATCTAAAGTGTTATTTTTTTTCATAACTGCACTAGTTGCAATTTCCACTCCCATTCCCACAACGCCTGCTGCACTACCAACCAAAACTCTGCCGACATTAGCAACTGCTGCTACGTTTCCCGCTAATGGTGTACCACCAAGTGAAATTACGTTACTATTATTTGTTTCATCTTTTGTTCCTTGATTAGATGTTTGTTCGGCCGTTACTCCCTCTACCCACACACGATGCAGTGTCAAGATACCAGCAGGATGAAAACTCCACAGATCTTGATAACCAATATCATGTTTGTTATTATTATTTTCAAATTCAATATAATTAGATGTGCTACTTGGTGTATAATTTTGAGACCAAGAATGAGATCTTCTCCGACCAGTTTTTTCATTACTAGGAATATTTTCAGGCACGAGATTTAGTTGTTGTCGTTTTTTATTTTGTCTCTTTGCATTTATATTACCAACTAATAGCACATTGTTTGAATTTGATCTCGATATAGAACAATTGGACACAGACGGCAAAAATTTGACACATATTCCTGGAGATTTCCTTTGGTAATAATTCGGAAATGGAGACGACAGTGTGTTATAATGTAATGCAGGGTGCTGTTGTACATTATAATTTACATAAAGATTATTTGAATTTCCAGGATTGTATAAAGGATTTTGACGATGTGATTGATCAATAGAAAATGCATTAATATCTGCAGATGGAGATGAATATTCATAATTATTAAGGTGTACATTTGCATTTATGCCTTGTAAAGTACCATCAGTAACTTCAGTTGAATCTGGCGGTAAAGGTGTACGAGGCTTAATACGAATCGCTGCTGATTGTGTAATCAATTTATACTACGATAAGAATTGAAATAGTTAGCCTAATATTAACCATTTTTAGTAATTAAAAAATTACAATTTACCGATTCATCCACATTATTAACCCATCCTGCTATATGAGAAGGTACATGAGCAGGACCACCATATGGATTGATTGCGAATAAATGAATAGTTCCACGTCCACTAGCTACAGCACACCATCTAGAGTCATCACTCCAACCCACACCTCCATAACCAATACTAGCATTTGTATAACCCCTTGATAGTTGATACACATGTTTCAAACTTTTGCTGTTTCTGCCTCGACGACGTTTGCCAATAATTTCAAACACATGAAATTGATGACCTTGGACTGATGTCGAAAGCAAAAAAGTTCCAGATGGACTAAATGATAAATACCCAACATGATTGGTGTGCGGTGAAAAATAAATAATAATATTGGATTGTTTTTTTTGTTCGTCACATGTTATGCCAAGGTCGCGTATGATTACCTGTATATATAAATTTTGAGTCAATATATTTACAAATAAACACTCGATTATTTAATAGTTGCCTACCGCTCCAATAGCACCATTATCTTTTTCATTAACCAAACCTATTCCATTACTATTTTCTCCATTACTACTTCCCATACTTCCAACCCTTGGATTGTAATAATGTCCATTGGATGGACTATTCTGTGTTGAAAACGAACCATTTGAATTGCCCCTCGCATTGTTTGGATTGTTGATATTTATGGGCATAGTAGGTTGTGGTTTGTTTGGTGTGGAAGTCTGTTGGTTTGAATTATTAAAGTACGAAGAAAGTGTCTGATATCCATAATCGCCTATTTTAAAAATAAATAAAAAAAAATGAAAGCTGATCTAATTAAGAAAGTGTCACGGCTGATGCTGAAAAATTTGGTCCCCACTTAAAATTAAACCCTATTAAAATCCCCCACATACTTTTATTAACCTAACTCTAAAAAAAAAAAAAACAGATAGCTGAAAAAAAAAAAAAAAAAATAGATCCCAAAATTTTTTAAAATTTCATATTAAAATATGTCAAATTTCTAGCATCAGGCCACGACAAGTATTAAATAATTACCTAATAAAATAATGTATTAAACATACCTAAAAATTTTACACCGTTAACAACTTCTTTTGCAACATCCTTGGCAACCTTATATTTTCCAGTTGCCCTAACATCCTCATCACTATCACTCATCACATAGCCATCCTTTTTACCATTATTTTCCGGAGGATGACTTGTTGTTGCATAAGCCAACAATCTTGGCCCTAAAGTGAATACCGGAATCCGAGTAGAAGGATGTACTACAACATCTTGTAACGGTGAAAAAGACAATGGCGCCAGAGTTGAGGATGAAATAACATGAAGTTTTGTCGGATTAATAAGACCCTAAATGAAAATGATTTAATTTAGTAATAAGTATGCCAGAAAAAGACATTAAATATATATATATATATAAATACAGAGTATCATACCACAACAATTGCTCGTTCATTACAATCCAGACTGATAATGTTACCATCATTCTCAAATTCCATCGATTTAATAATTTGATGTGTTTTTAATGAAAAGAATTTTAACACACATTTAGGTTTTGGTGTGAATGTATCGTTTTCTCGTGGTGGTGTTAATACACAACTGTTAAATAAAAAAAAAGATAAATTAAATAAATGTTTATAACCATGTTTAAAAAAATTAAGCAACTTACATTATTCCAATAAACGGACGAACTTCCGCATATTTATCGAATGTATCTTTCGATGTATGACGTGGATTAGGTATTGGCTATATAGATTTATAGATTGAAATACAAATCAAGATTAAACTATTTATTTCAAGAATAAAAAAAAAAAAAAATCTAAAAAGAAATATATATGAACCTTTATGCATATAACTTGACCAAGATTTTCTTCGTCTCTAATTGATACAAGTTCGTGAATATTATCAGCACGTGATATATCCCATATCTGAAATCCGTCAGGATATCCCAGAAAAAGAACCGATTTACTATTAAAATGAGGAAAAAAAAAAAAAAAGTATCGATTAAATAATCTAAAGTCATAATATAAAAAGTAAAAAAATTTTGACCTGTACCTTTTAGTACTTTTATATGCATCATTAGAACATGTCAAAATTTCATCGAATGCTGCATATATAATCAAGTCCTTTTTTTTCTCAAAAAGTCCATCAGGTACAGGATCCATATCGCTGGTAAATTGATGTGATAAATGTCCTTTATGATAATTTATTGACTGTTGATAGTCATTTGTAGAGTTTGTGGTAGTCTTACGTAACGAGGTAAGAGAAGTTGGAAGAGAATAAGCCACATATGAAGAAAGTTCATATATAGCTGATGAAATAGATTCCAACGCAGAAGGATCTCTATTTAAAAAAAAAAAATAAAATAAAATGTTATATATTTTTAAGTTTGACTTCTCGAAGTAAATTAAAGATTTACCTCAAAAATTTAGGGTCAGCTTTGACCCCATTAACATTAGTAGGTTGAGGAATAGAAGACATTATGACACTTGTTTAGAGATATATAATAATGAAATAAAGAATGATAACAGATAATAATTTTTTTTTTTTTTATATATTATTAAAAAATCAGTTTATAATTTTTTTTTATCTATTTATTATATTTATTAGAAAAATGTTCTACAATAAAAATAAAAAAAAGAAAGACTAATATCAAATAAGTTGAAGTTGGGCAAAAAGAGTTATTTTTGTAAAACGTAATTTCCGAAGAAAAACACAAGAAACGATTGAGAGTATTTAAATACTACAATGCTGTATAATATATATAACATAACGATAATGACACATTATTTTTGTAACCGAAAAGTATTAAAAAAACGGTCACATTATCATCATTAAAAGATTTCTGACAAGTTTCTGTATGCACAAAATTCGGAAATTTATTTGGTACGTACGTACACTTATTAATAGCAGATAGTATTCTATTTTAACTCGTGTTTTTTTTTAAAAAAGGAAGGTCTTCTGATTTAAAATTAGCGATTGTGAACAAACCTGATTTGGAGTTTATTATTGTAATGTATCGGTATAGCTCACTTAAATTTTTTTTACTCTGAACTTCTTGTTATAGTGAACATAGTGAACCTCTCGATATAGTGAAGATCAAAAATTTAATTCTCCGATTTTAGGATCATTTCCGGATCAGAAGACATCAGAATTCCGATTAATGTTCCGCAAAACCGAACCAGAAACCTGGAACCGACCCGGAACTAAAGAACGGTTCGAGCCTGAGCTTAGGACTTTTTACAACCGGTAATTGGTATTTACAAACATGAAGCCAAGAATCTTAAATCTAAGTTATTACATTTTTTAATAATTTTGTAATTGATATGATGCGGGACACCTAAAGGCTTCACAAACTTTAAAGGCTAATATAAAAACTAGAGATTGTACCCGGTTCAAAATTTAAGCTCCGGGTTACTCACCCGTTTAAAATTCGAGGTCATCTTTAACTAGACAAAGTGTTCTAAGTAAACTTGAAGCTTTCTCTCTGCCCTACAACATATTCATTGAATCTTTCTGAATCCCACCGCCTTCATATATTTTTTATTCGACAAAGTTAGTATATAAAAAGGTATATATGTAAGCTAAATTGGCAAAATCTTACGTTTGAGCAACAAAAAAAAAACAAAAACGAAGTAACAAAGGTAACGATTTAGAAAAAATAAGAAGACAAATTGTTGTTTTGTTGTTTATTGGATAAACTCTTTAAAGAGTTTTTATAAGATCTACGTATATTACAGTTTAACTAACTACTTTTTTTACAATATTATTATAGTCGTTAGAATATATAAACGAATTTATGATTTTTTAAGTATAATAGATAATCATTAGTAAATAAGTTAATATATGATCCAAGCTAATAAAGATATTTTTACTTACTCTATGTTATTATTTAATGAGATTAATTTGAGCTTTGGATATGATTGGCTAAAATGATATGCATGATCGGAAAAACAAGCGAAAAAAAGAAAAATACAAGAAACGGCTGTTGGAAACCACTCTTGTGCATTAATAAAAAATATCGGGAGGGAAATTTTACCTATATTAACGACTCTAACCCTAACGCAAAAGGGCCCTAACCCTAATGTTAATAAAATTTTTACGTAATCTACCCCGCTTTAAGGACCCCCCTTATTTGGGACGGTCCTACCTGTATAAGAAACCACCTTTGGTGTACTAATTAAAAAAATTCCTTGCTAAATTTTGCATATATGCACTTTGATAAAACCCCATAACCCTAAAGTTCTTACATTTAACACTATTAGTAAAAAACTAACAAAAATAAACTTTGAGTTTGTATCACCGGCGCAAATGATCACTCGCTGCGCAGGCGGAATATACCGGAAGGCCGGAATATACCGTAGACCCTCGAAATTTAGAAATTTTGGCCTGCATTAGCCATAATGCAGGCCCGTGAAGGCTGCGCAGGCCCGTGCAGGTTGCGCAGCCTGCGCAGTATTTTCAAAAAATCTTCGATTTGCCCATCCATAGCGATAGTCATCACAATTAAATAAATTAACATTAGCGTTAGTTACCCAGGCAAAGGCTAAATAAGCAAAATTTTAACTTGGCATATCAATAGAGATACGCAAATTTTCATATGCACAGCTAGTTCGCGGAAACCTAAGTCATTAATAAAATTAAAAACAGATTCAAATTCATTATTGCCTTCAAAGAAATGAGTAAATTCTTAATTCCCATTTTATTCTAATAATTAGTTTTGCTTGTAAATTTAAAAATAGCTATCGTGAAAAGAAAAAAAGGAACATATTTGGTGATTGTATCCGAATATATACATATTTTTATGAAATTTCATAATAAAATCGGATAGAAGTACGTACGTACTAACAATAAACATTTACCTCTTGAGCTCATATAATATAAAGTTGAATTTTATTTGTTACGCGGGCACAAAGTTCATAGCCACATATAAACGGTCTCACGTGAAAACAAATTTTGCGTTACCCGTTAGGCTTTGCACATACTTTTTATCAATTTAAGATCAAAAAGATCAAAATTACGATAATAAAAAAATTCAATCTTTGACTGTCTTCCATTTATCTTGTCAATAATAATTTCGATATTTTATTGTACAATAAAAAAAAAAGAAAGATGTTACTACCAATTATAGATATTTCAAATAAATCATTATCCATAGAATTTATCAAGTCACTCAATTTGGTTGGAGAAATTATTCTTCGTATTTCTGATTTTAATGATACATCATTGTTATCACAATTTCTCGAAAAACATCAATTAGATAGATATTGGTTATTTCCAGTAAAAGAAATAGTACCTGATGATATTGAAAATATCATTAAATTTTTGGATCAAGGTGCACAAAAAGTAGTTATTCCACTTTCAAAATTATTGGCAAATGATTGTTTTTCTACTTTACCATCAGATAGATTAGCTGTTTGTTTAAATTCTAGTGATTTATGTGATGAAGGATTAGTTAAAAAGTTATCAGGATTGGTATCAGGATACTTGGTTAATGATGTTGATTTAGATTCTATTTCCGGAAAATTCTTTCAAGATTTAAATAATTTTATACAAAATGTACAAAAAAGTACACTTTCATCCGGTGTGATTTCAAATGTTGGTGTCATGCTACAGCAAGAGAAAGTTGATATAAAGTATTCCCCAGATTTGGTTCAAAAATTATCGACAATTTTAGCCGATTTAGTTGTTCCTATTGAATATCTTACAATGGATTCGGGTAATAATTTGTTAAATGTCGCTGACGCTTTGACATGTACTCTAAAGTCTGATCGTCCAGACGGCTTATTTATCACTGTTGTGGTAGATGAAAGAGATGTAGCATTAGGCGTGGTATATTCATCTACCGAAAGTGTGAAAGAAGCACTCAAAACTAGGACAGGTGTATATCAAAGTAGAAAACGTGGGTTATGGCACAAAGGTGCTACGTCAGGATCTGTTCAAGAGTTAAAAAAAATTGAGGTAGATTGCGATGGAGATGCATTGAAATTCACAGTTAAGCAGTTTGGAAGTGGTAAGTTAAATTTGATATAAAAAGTGATACATTTTCATTAAGTTATTTATAGTTTTTTTTTTTTAGGGTTCTGTCATTTGAACACTCGCACATGTTTTGGTAAAAGTAATGGTCTTGTTGCGCTTGAAGAAACACTTCGCAATCGAAAGATATCCGCACCTCCTGGTTCATACACTCAAAAATTATTCCAGAATCCAGATTTACTTCGTTCAAAAATTATGGAAGAGGCAGATGAATTATGTTCTGCTGATACTAAAGATGATATTGCATGGGAATCTGCAGATTTGTTGTATTTTGCCCTTGCCAAATGTGTTGCAAATGATGTTTCACTAACTGATGTTGAAGCACACCTTGATAAGCGTGCAAAGAAAATAACACGACGACCTGGTAATGCAAAACCTCAATGGGATGTTTCAACCAAAAAAACAACGGAAATTAACGATGGAGCAAAAGAAAAACCAATTCCAGTTAATATTTCATGTAAATCAGATATTATTAAAATGCAGAAATTCCAATTATCCGAAATTGATTTGATAAAGAGAACATCACTTCTTAAACGACCTATCATTAACTCCGATGATATTATGGCACGAGTACGTCCTATTATCAATGATGTACGCAATAAAGGTGATACGGCTCTTATTGAATACACTGCAAAGTTTGATAAAGTTCAACTTAATACACCAGTAATTTCTGCTCCTTTCCCACAAGAAGCGATGGCGCTCGATGACGTTACGCGTCTAGCAATTGATCAAGCTTATGATAATATTTACAAATTTCATGACGCGCAATATGATCGATCAACGTTAGTCGTCGAAACAATGCCTGGGGTGGTTTGTTCACGATTTAGTCGTCCTATTGAACGTGTTGGACTTTATGTTCCAGGTGGTACCGCCATCCTACCATCCACAACCCTTATGTTAGGAATCCCGGCTAAAGTAGCTGGATGTAAAGAAATAATTATCGCAAGTCCACCACGAAAAGATGGAACAGTTGTACCCGAAGTTTTATATGTGGCGCATAAAGTTGGTGCATCTAAAGTTTTGTTGGCAGGCGGGGCTCAAGCAATCGCTGCGCTTGCTTATGGAACAGAATCGGTACCTAAAGTTGATAAAATATGTGGACCCGGTAATCAATATGTTACCGCAGCCAAAATGTTTGCACAAGTAAGCAAAAAATTTCTATAATTACCTTATATAATTTTAATTGTTGACATAAAATTTCTAATTCATATTACCTATTAAAGAATGATAGTTCAGCTATGATTTCAATTGACATGCCTGCAGGACCGTCAGAACTTTTAGTTATCGCAGATAATTCAAGTATTCCTGCTTATGTGGCATCAGATCTTTTATCACAAGCTGAGCATGGGACTGATTCACAAGTAGTATTGGTTGGAGTTTCTTTAACAGTCGAACATCTTGCAAACATTGAACGTGAAATTCATGAACAAGCAAGTCGCCTTCCAAGAGTAGATATTGTTAGAGTGTCAATTTCAAAAAGTTTTATTTTACAAGTTAATAATATGAAAGAAGCAATGAAATTTTCAAATGATTATTCTCCTGAGCATTTAATCTTACATATTGAAGAAGCGGAAAAATGGGTAGAAGCTGTTCAAAATGCTGGCAGTGTTTTTGTTGGTGCATATTCACCAGAAAGGTATCTATTTATTGATAATATATATGTATATTTTTTTTTTTAAATTTTAAATTTGACACATCATAAAACATACACTATCTCTCTCAATTTTAGTTGTGGTGATTATGCCTCCGGTACCAATCATACACTTCCCACATATGGATACGCACGAATGTATTCTGGTGTGAACACACTTACATTCCTGAAACATATTACGTCACAAAAATTGACTAAGCAAGGATTAAAAGATTTAGGATATACGGTTATGAGATTAGCTGAAATTGAAGGATTAGAAGCACATAGAAATGCTGTTCATGTTAGAATTCGTGATATTGAAAATGATTGAAAGTAAAATTGAATTCGTAAAAAAATTCATCGATGATTACTAGAGTTTTATTTATGTACAATATATTTAATATTTTGTATACATTTCGTATTTGTTGAATAAAGAGACTATCATTGGCCTTATTTGCAAAATTTATTTACTATGCAACAATTTATTGCTCTTAATTCGGCATTTTGCTGTGATCCGAAAAATCTGTTATTATAATGTGACACAATGAACCGTATTACGAGTCAGTAAATTCACATATCGTACCATACTGTACGACGACTGGAATGACCTTAACTTCACAAGATTACTATTATTATTCTCTCAAGCCACCCCTTTTGAGAGAATGGACAATTCGCCACTATTATCCGTTGGACATAGATGGGGTGAAATTCGTTTTCAATTATTTAATTTCAACAATAATTTTAATATTATATTTGTAGCTATAGGCTACATGCATAGGGATGGGCTCGGTCACCGAACCCATCCCTACGTATACATGTAAGATCAGGTATAATATGATTATCAAAATAATTTTTTTTATAAAAATAAAACCTACGATTAAGATTAGTGTTAGAGTGAAGCTTGGGATTTTATCTAGGCAAAATTTAGCGAGGAATTTTTTTTGTTAGAGTTAATATTTCAATCCGGATTTAAATATATCCGGATTGATATTTTGTTAATGAGTTGGATTTACCTGTACTAAATTTAGTACATTGTACTAAATTTCTACCAATTACAAAAAGACAATTAAGCTCAAAATTAACAAGTTATTTACTTATGAAAAAAAAAAACTCTTTCCCGTACATCAATTTACATACAAAATAAAAAAACTAAAAAAAGGGAAAAAGTCACAAAAACTACTAATAAAACTATATTTTTGCAATAAATAACTAGTTGTAACAAGACTATATTATCTTCTTTACAAACAATAACAATAAAGAAAAGGAGAAACAAAAACATTGCAACTGCGAAACTTGTAATGCTTATTAGAAAGTTGCTGACTATGTCGGCAACTCACTCCCACGATGACACTACTCCTAGTTCTCATATTATTCTCTTAACTGAAGATAACTCAGATGATGACCAGTACAATAATGGATATCAAAAAAAGAAAATAAGAGAAGAAAACAAGGAACAAAGCAATAATGAAATTAATACTTTGCAAAATAAAAATACAAATATCGCCAAGGAAAAAAATCAAAAAAGTGAGCAATCTAGTTTACCCTTAACAAACACAACAATAGCATGTGACTAGCCAAAAAAACAACAAACTGAATTAGGATATGCACCTAACATAGATTCTACAGAGGAGTTTCCTAATTTAGAAACAGATCAGGCTAAGGAACAACAAACAACAACTATACATCATAATCTATCATTGAACACAGATCTAATTATAGATAATGAATCAACAGGAACTATCACAGATATTCCCACATCTTCACGAAGCTATAGCCAAGCATTATTGGGAACACAAGAACTAAGGAGGACTCCTCATCCTGATTTAACCAGACTTATAGATGACTAGATACAGCAAACTCACCAAACACTAGCAGCTCTCAAGGTCCAACTATTTGACAAACAACTTTGGAGTAACCAAGAAATCATAGATGCCTTCTCAAACCTTGACAAAATTAAAAAATTAGTCCAACACAAACTACAAACAAAACTAACAAAAAATTTTATTTTACCTGCGATCAATACAAAACTACGTCACCAAGATAAAGCTTTCTTCTAGTCCTTCACTAGATGACAAGATGCTTGCTCTCCTCATCAAGTAGAATATCAACAACTATTAACAACTGCAATCGAGAGATATAAACAATAGCATAATGCAATTATAATTAATAACAATAACAAAGAACAAATCTCAAATATGCTATGAAAGAAGATTGCAATAGACTTCTGGACTAATGAAGAACTTTCACTACTTGATGCTCACAAAATTACTTAACGTATTCTATATATTATAGAGTTTGCAAAAATACTAATGAAACAAAACTTCAAGTCTCTAAAAGATGAAATTTGTAAACTACAACTTGCCTAGCTGCAAAACTTACTATCTATACCAAATGAAATCTCAGAGGAGATTAGAACAGGCCTACCATTTTCCTTACTAATTGCAAACTGAAGAAATATACATGCAGTAGTGGCAGCACTTCATTGTGTCTATACCTTCGAACGTCTACCAGATGCTTATATTTCTGATACCAGAATACAACTACCTGAATATCCACACTTGTTAAACTCTGAAACCAGAGATATATTTCTAATTACCTCTTGTGCAGAACTCAAAAACCTAAGGATATACAAGCAATGTCTTCAAGAATACTATTTGTTCCGTACTATTCCTCCAGACTACTTTAGTATGCTACCACCCAAACTACTTCTACCATCTATACTACAGGAATTAATCCCTAAACTCTGTGAAATCTTTCCTTTCTACTCTAGAAATACACAACACTTTAAAGATCATATTCATATCTTAAGACAAGAATACGCCTTCAAAACATTATCTAATGATTATCTTATTAATAAGAGATGACTCCCTGCTAATCCTACATCACTACTTCTCTCAGATCAGTTTTCCTTCCTGATGGAAGACACTGATACAGTTAAACAATTCTTAAATACTATTCCCCATGATTACGCTATACCTAACCCTCTTCTATTAGCCTATACTACAATCAACTATACAGATAAACCAGACCTTCCACAAGAACCTGAA